GCATTCCTGGCCTCCTGCTCACCCAGAGAAAAGAGGGCTTGAGGCTCTGCTGTGGCCTCTGACAAGGTACCAGCAGAACAGATAGTGTGACTGGCAAACAGCTGAAATACCTGTTTTAGTCTCCAGACCTCTATTGCTTGAGTCACACGATCATTTCTCAAACTTGAAAAACTCCTGGTCATGCAGAGGGCAGCCCAAATCTGCAAGGAGGACCTTTGCGCCGTGCTCTCAGCCACCCAGCTGTACTTCGATCTTCTGCTGCAGGGGTCATTCAGCTTTGCAGGTTCCTCCCTGGGTCTCTGTAACCGCTTGTGAATCTCTCGTCTTGCCGGCCAGTGGCAGCCCTGTGGATGTTGGGCAGACCCACAACAAGGGGAGGAGGGTGTGGGGGAGGCAGAGAGGTCTCCCAGTGCTTCTTTGCAAGGCCTGTCTTGTCTCGCTTCCTTTGCTCCTGCTGCACCTTCCTGACACAAGTTTCAGAGCTTGTGGATTTTTTCAGTTAGTTTTTATTTGTGGTACTCTTTCGATCTCAGCCCTGAAGAGCTTCCAGTTGCTGTCAAGTTTGTGCCGGGCAGAGGCACTACTTGCAGTTGCAGTTGTCTTTGTGTGTATGGTTTCACTCTTATAGTCCCCAGCCCTCCCTTCCACATGTGTGCCCCTATCTACACACACATACACGGTGCCTCTCTTGCGGAGACCTACAGATATCCCTGACAGTCTTTTCTGATGTTTTTGCCCGTTTTCCTGTTTTCCTGTCAGCAGTCCCCTTGCCTGCTTTGGGCATCACTGGGTGATGAGATCAAATAATGACAAAACAGTGGTTTTGGATGATGCTGACGTCAGCTCTGCTGTCACGTACAGCCTGGCTGTCTCTTGATCTTCGTGCTTGAAGTGCCGAGAAGAGTCGTCTGAGTAAGTTTTGAGCGAGGCGTTCACCTGTGATCGCTCAGTACCTCCGACTGGTACGGGAGTGCGTTGAGCACAAACTAGAGAGTTCAGTCCCCTGTCCAAGAGGAGGTCTGCCGCAGTGTTAAATCTTGGCATAGTTATCAAAGTGAAGTGATAGAAGAGTACTGAGAGAGCTCCCGTGGCTTTTTCCTTCCTAACCACGTACTGCAAAATGAATCAAATAGATATTATGCAGTTTAATTCTGACTGTAGATGACAGCTTGACTTTCTTTTATCCCCAAACCGAGCTGTGGCAGAGTGCAGGAGGGTTGTGGGGCTTTCAGTATGGTTGGGAATAAAGTTACATTGCACCCGTGAAGCTACATGTCCAACCTTTGAACAAGGCAGTGTCAGCAAAGGCCAAGGGGTTAGATGGCTGTGGCTACTCTTTAACTGGTCTTTAGACGCGTTCTGAAGGAATCATACTAAACTCTCTGCTTACTGGTTGTTACCACTGATCAGTCAAAATACACCTCTGATTGTTATTTGAGACATTTTGGGAAAGTAAGAAATGTCATAGTTCAGCATAGGTATACGCACAATGCAACCCTGTTACTTGAAATAATGTATATAGTCGTTCTTTCAGGGAAAAAAAAAAGGAAAGGGAAAACCTGTAACTTCAAGACACACAGTTGGAAGTGACTGTTTCCATGATTCAGCACCAGGTCAAAATGGGGTTGTTGCTGTATTTACAGCTTCTGAAATACATCCGCACGTATCTGAAGAATGTGTGTCATGTAGGTGGTAAGCTTAACCTTTTAATTTGGCTCCATGCTTTTCCTTTTTCTTCCTATGGATTGCACTAATGCTATAAAACTTTGACCTCCTGGAGAAATGCTTCACAACATTACTTAGCATTCAGACCAGCCAAGGTCGTCTTGTTGGGATCGATTTTCTCCTTTTTCCTTAGGGTGTTGTTTGCCTGGAGGTGACTTTTGTTTTATTCTTCAGTTCCAAATACCTCATCACATTCCCTCCTAGCACTGATCTTCTACTGTAAGGATGTCACTGGGACAGGGATGGAGGGCTTGGTAGGGCAGGAGTGTATGACTCCTGGACAAGGATATGCAGTCAGAAAAATGATCTTGATCCCAATCACATTCACATTGGTAGAAAGTGGTTTACCCTTAGCACTGTAAATGGAGAGAGGTGGTTGCAGGTGACAGCTAAATGAGGTCAGAGAACTTCACCAGTCAGTTCATTGACATCCAGAATGTGGAGGGCAGAGCTTCTGTGCAGAGGTACTGATTTACATCTGCAGAAGGACTACTTCCACTCTGTTTTTAGACATAAGCCTTAGCTTGTGAATTTCCAGGCACTGGGGCTTTTTCTCATAATAATACCGCAGTAGAATTATACCTATTTTTTTAAATAGATTTGCAGATCAGAGTTGCATCTTTTGATGTCCGAGCTCAAGTTTGGCATGGGCCGCGTGTGACTAAGAAGAAGATTCTGTATGGATACTTCTGTGCAAAATATAAAACCGCTGGGTTGCTTGTGGCTAATCGCTGAAAACTGGATCTGATGACTTCAGTGGTCCCTTCCTGAGTTCCTGTAACTGATTTCTAATTCAGCCTTTGTCTCTTAACGTTTTTCAGGCAGGAATTGCCTAGCAGTGTGGATAGCTCTCTTCCATTTTTGTCCCTCAGCTGCGTGCCAGTCTTTTAATGACCCTTTCTGACAGTCGTCTTTGTGGCTGCTTGTACCGTAGGGATGTGGTGATGGTAACAGGAAGCAAAGGATAAAGAAGATAAAACCTCCACTAATTTTCTTCCACTTTGCTTTGGTGTGGCCTGCAACGCGGGCGGTAAATGCAAAGCCCCCTGCATGGCGGTGTTAGGCTCCCTCTGCACACAGAGTATCTGTTAATGCCACATGCAGTACGGCACTGGTGCAGAGCAGGCGCCACACGGACCCGTGCTGGCTTCATGCTGGTGGGGTCTCTCCCAGCGGTGGCCTCTGTGCCGCAGTCAGGCCAAGCATCCCGAAAGTGCTGCTCGGGCGGCAGGCATGTGCCGTTTTCCCCTGCAGCCGTTGCCCGTGTTTTGCAAGCTCCTGGCTTCATAACTGCAGCCCCTGCTCCCTCCTGAGTCAGGATTGTCACTGTGTGTTTGTTGAAGTGCCTTGTTAGCCAAAATCCACTGCTGTTACAAAATGAGCAGCAGGGCCAGTTCTGCCAAGGTGGGTGATAGCAGTTGTTAGCATCTGAAGAGACGACATGTGTGTCGTTCTCCCTATTCAAATACCGGTAACTGCCAGGAGCAGGATATGGGACAGTGCGGTCCAGAGGGCTGTCCTGCATTGCAACCCCCAGGTCTACGCCTGCCCTCTCTTCTTGAACTACGTTATTTCTGTTTTACTGACGTCACCCATCGATTAGCATGTTGCAACCCAGTTGCTATGATCCAGAGAGAAGAGCAAGAAATAGTTGTATAGAAAGGAGGGAGACGTCCTCCGATAGCTGTGGTCCTCGCGTGTTAACTCAGGTGTTTGGGAATAACATTGCAATAAGAGAAGATCAAAGGTCACCATGCACATATTTTGGGGTTTCTTTATTTCATTCTCTGGATGCAAGTTTACGCTGATACTTCTTCAAATACAGCAAGGAAGGCAACGCAAAAGATGTAAAAATGTCACCCCTTCGTATTTCTCGTATGTTGGAGTGACCAAAATCAAACACAGCTAAACAACTCTCTGTGAAAGTAAACACAGCTGCCTTTTTTTGCGTAGCTATAAGAAATAAGTGGGGAAATGCAAAGAATCCCTTTATAATGAATAGTTTAGAACAAGATCAGTAACAATTTGCCTTTAATTCAGTGCATTAACACACAGATTGTTCTCTGTGGCGTTCATTCGGTGGCCCTGGGTCTAAACAGAGCCTTTTGTCTTGGGTGGGGTTTTCATCAGTGAGAAGGTGTGTGTGTGTTTCGGAGGGCCGTGTTCAACAAGCTGCTCGTGTAAGCAGGCAAAGAGTTACTGACTGCAAACCATGCCATTCCTTTTCGTTGTGTGCAAATGAGGGTGTTTCTGTCTAGTTACTTGGTTGCTCATTCATGCACAGGTTCAGGAGCCTGTGGAAATGCATCAGTTTAAACATACTTTTTCTTTCCCCCACCTTTCATGCAGACTTAGTGGTTGAGCCAAATAGCTAAAAATCCTCAGGGGTTTAAAGGATTAAATGGGAAAAATTGTTAAGGTGCAGGAAGGGCTGAAAAGTCCTGAAAACATGACAGGAGGTAGATGCTGAAGAAACTGCTTAGTGAATAACAGCCTCCTCTGTTTTGGGTATAAATACAACTGTGAGTGGTGGACTGGTGGGTTGGTAGGGATTTTATAGCTGGAAAAAAACCCAAACAAACCAGGGGAGATCTGGTGATTGCTGACCTGAAGGTTTGCTGCTGGGCAGTTTGGTAAGTCAGTGGGAAGATGCTTTCTTGTTAAGGGTCACAAATTCGTTTCTCCCGCCCGTTTACAAGGTTGGCACAAGTTTTCATTACCCTTTAGCTGGGCTCTTTTGTTCCCACTGGTTCCTGTAAGTAACCTGTTCCTTCACATTTTTCTGTTTGTCTCAGGTACTGAAGGGTTCAGGCCAGAGGTTTTCGGGCGCTCTCTCTAGCTGCTGCCTGGTGCTGCCCTGAGGAGAAGCAGCGTTGGGAAGGCGGGCGCTGCCCTGAGGAGAAGAAGCGTCGGGAAGCAGGCGCTGTCCCAAGGAGAAGA